CCTATTTTCGGTAACACCTTTGCAATTACAATGACAACAGTTGTAGTAACCGCTATGCTGTTTGACTTGTTTCACAAAGCTCTTGGCTGGGGCATCCGAGATGACGCTGTTGAGAAGCACCTTGGGTGTTTTATCGGTTTGCTGTAGGTCTATACCGCTTCTTGTCAGTGTACCTAACTCCGCCATTGTATGTGGCAGTTATTCGTGTATGTCACCTGGCTTAGACGTGCCGCAATACAATCCAACAACAAACACACGGTAGGTTGGTGTTAAAGTGCGTCCCAGAATGGGCCACAGTTGAACGGTGGAGTTCTTAAACCGAGCCAAACCATCAATGTGACGCTGAAGACTAATAACTGGAACTGCACCAGAATCAACATCTTCCATAACACGCTGTATACAATTCTCGGGGGCAAAATGAATGTAGCTGCCAACGACGATTTTTCGTATGGGGGTGGCACGCGGAGTACACATCAGGGTCCGTGGATCCTCAGGGACATCGTGTTTACGCATCTTCAAGCCCCTCAACAAACACGCACTGCCTTTCATGTTCAGGTTACATTCAATCGCAATCTGTCTTGCAACAGACCGTGCTGACATCGGTACGTCGTTTTCAACCTCAGTTTTACGAGAATTCCTGGTCATTTCTACGAAACTGTAACTTAAAAACAAAACTGGATTACCTTGCAATCTCTCATTACACCTGTTTATGCTGTCATCAACCGGTTTGCGAACCTTCGGTGGCAATATGTAGCTTGTGGAGGGCATCGGCTCAGCTCTTACTGGTTTAAAGTGTAATGGGTAATATACTCACTCTATTTGTGTTGGGAAATTATACTTCTCTTGGAATGTGTTCTCATTGGAATCACTTGTCACATTACCAGCTTTAAGGCAATAATCATTAATTAGATCGGGAACTCAATCCGGTGGACCTTCGGGGTAATCTGGAAGGCAATGTCTATCTAAAAGAGGTGAAATATTTGTCACTATTATCCGAAAATTGTAGATTTGTATTCAGACCAGTAATTTCCGATAACAGTTCCCATCTGGGCTCACGGTTTCATCTCCATTGAGTAGTTCGTGATGAGCCACAAATTCTCCCAATAATCGTCCTCATTATAAACTTGGGTAATGATACTAGCTGACTAAACTGTAATAAAGATACCAAGAGACGATATATATATATATATATTTATGGGTATAATAACATGGCAGATAGTTGAACAATATCAGCAAATATTCAACTACAGAAAGCCCACGTGACTCACTGCACACTGAGAGCGTTGACATGAACAGTGCGCGCTTCGAAAATCGAATGACTTTGCTGTGCACTTAAAAAAATCAACAAACGGAAATCTAAAAATAGGATTTATTACAAAAAACATTAATTTATTTAGATGTCAATGGTCATAAAACGGCCTAAAATGAAATAAAAAAGCACTGATATTCTTTCATAAATAAGTAATTCAATAGAGAAGACATTGGAAATCGAGAATAAATTTTTTGGCCGAATTTTTCCCATTGCAAGATAATTACGGAAGCTAATGGTGAATATGAATGATCTTGTTAAACCTGCTGATTACAATACCGTTTCAGGATGATTAATTGGATATTTAATAAGTGTTCCCCAAGGGGTCACTCAAAGGACTGCCGAGTGTCTTTCTGTGCTACCTGGGAAGTAATTTTATTGTAAAAAGCAAAAATGTAACCGGTTCACAAACCCGGGAACAAGCAGGGACGAACAACTTGTAGGAAGGCAGGCAGGCAAGAAGGCCGACACCCGCTCATACGTCGCAATGCATGCGAATGCCGCCAAACCGGCATTCAAACCGTGAATCGATCGATCAACCAATCGATCGATCAATCAATTTGATCACAAGCGTGTATGAAAACTAAATAGTCAGTTCTAGGCCACAACAGCTAGTGCAAATGTTCCGATGTAAACATAAGCCCAATTTGTTAAACAGTCAACGGAATTTCGCCGGCGGACGTCAATCGTATATGCCCCTGACAAGATTCTGCAATTATTATTATTATTATTATTATTATTATTATCTACTCATGAGTAGCGTGTAAACGATCCTCAAAATCCTGATAAAAAGTTATTTTGTAAATGTAAAACCTGGTGAGAATAACAAAACTGATAATAAAAACATAATAAATTGATATAATATCGACGACAGTAATAATTTCGGTGGTATAAAAATGACATCTGTTTATGAAATATGAATATAAAGCATCTTGTCTTGTTTTGCTGAACCATCACAGGACCTGGTCTTACGATGCGTATCCCAACGATTCCAGTAAAAAGAGAGTTGAAGAACATTGCGAGCCTTTACTGGTATCACCAGCCAAAACGTGGTCGTAGTCGTGGTAAATTAAGGGAAAGAGAATATGTGGTATTTATGGGGTTGCTCACTGTCTAGACATTTGTCCGGAATGGGAGTTACGTGGGTGGCGATGGAGGACATGCTAGAAATTAGGTCATCGAACTCCAAACTTTTACTCTGACGCCCACGTATTCAGTACGATCGAGAAAATGTCGACACGTTCACACGGTCACGACTGATCCCAATCCGGTTCTGATTCATATCGTGAGAATTCTCAGGGGAAGGTGATACTTTTCCTGACACAAGTGAATCCATACTGTTTTCCTAAGAAGTTTATCATGACAAATAATGGTTTATGATACAACACCGTTTCCAGTGTATTTAACCAGCAGGAAGGCCTCTACCAAGAAATACCAACCGATGTTCGACGCGACCCGGGATAATGATATTGGTTTTCAGGGCTACATCTTTTAATTCATAGCTGACTTTCTAAACATTGTGTTCAATTTATGTTTTCGATAACATGCTTAACTCAAAACTTTGTCAGTAAAATCAGCATTTCACAGTGAATGTTTATGAGACCTTTATTTTCATGAAGCAAAAGACTCAATTCGGTAATAATATGAAAACATAAAAATTATTTGGATTCCGTTGTCTTCCATTAAAATATGAAAATTGGAGGCGATGACCTGAACAAGTGAGCACTTAACCCAACCAACCACCCAGAATTCCCTGCCTTAGAAAACCATAAGTCTTTGTTTGATATCTGGCGCTGCGTTTACTTTGATGAATAACATGGTTTTGAACTTATCGGTAAAGCGAATTTTACTCACCCCAAATCTGGATAACTTCGCTCATGCAGCGCAATTCATCTGGATGCCGTGAGGGACGAAATAGATAATCGGATTCGGAGGCAAAACATAACATTGCATGCAGTAGGGACTGGAAGAAATAACTGAACGGTAGAATAAATAAATGGAAGAAATCATTGATCATTTTACTGGGGAATTTCGGAACAAACCAAAGAGATTGAGCTGAACAATACCACTGAAAATTCACTTTTTCAATTCATCCGACAAATAAGATAACAGTTTGACGCAGCGGTTCCGATTGCTGCATTTCGGTTGCCCTGTGCATGGAAATGTACACTATAGAATGCGAAAGCTGCAAACAGTACTAGTGTAACGAGAAGGCGAGTTGGCTAGCAAAACGTTTATTGATTCAATTTGAAAACAACTGGTGTATGCGTTCATTTATATACAATCAATTTTAAACCGTGCGGTAGTATGATTGATGCCTCATTCTGCTGGTCAATCCCTGTTGGTTTTGGTCCACAATTGGCACGTACGTTTACTCTTCTTCCGCGTGCCGTTCCGACTGGTTTGACCCGATCGTATCGCGAGATACGTTGGTAGACAACTCCGACGTTGTGGTATTCGGTGGATATCTTCCTGGCTAGATGTGGATTGATCGTCGGACTGTTATTATCGATTCGTTCGTTTCGAGTGGTAGTCGACATTGTCTCACGAAGTACTTCCAGCCGCTACGTCTGCGCATCTGGTTAGAGGGGCCCTATTCTTGATTCGTTCGCTAGCCAGGGCTCTCTTTGTACCACCTTCCATCACACCAGGTTGAAGATACAGAATACACCTAGACTAACCATAGGAGGAAATAGGGTAGATGAAAGAAAAAGCGATCCGTCGCAAACACCTGGAAATTTAGACGGCACCCCGGATGCATTCAAACCTTCTGCATATAGGCCGAGATTTGTTCATTAGCGAGATGTAGTTTTCCCAGTCTAA